CAGGAATTTGCTGAGTTTCAGCTTCCAGCTGCTGCTATCTTCCCTACTAATGTAAATCTGAAGGCTCTCCTTTGCTCCTGAAGCCCAGCATCCTGGGGGACATCAGACCCTCCAGGAACATCTCACAAAGTTTCTACTCAAATAGGAAACCCCGTCCAAACACGCCTCCCCCGCCTGCTCTCGCCACGCTAACGCAAGGGGTTGTCGAGAGGTTAACAGGAGACGAATAAAAGAAACCGAGTTTGACCAGCGTCCTTCATCAAAACCCTGCAGCATCACTTCTCGCCAAGCGTAAGCAAAACATTCCCTACAGTGAGACCTCGACTCAGACATGCTAATTCTTTTTTAAAGCCCCTTCCAGTCCAAGCAGTGCCGCCGCTACCTCTCCCGGCGTAGTTCCGCTCTGCCGGCCGGCGCGGGCAGCCCTGCTATTTATGGGTTGCTTCTGAACAGAACAGCACATTATTTGGACGCTGATACAGCAGCTGCGTCTACTGAATTCCATCCATGAGATTTCATCTCAATAGCGCGGGCTCGCAGCGTGCTATGGAAACGTTATTCAGATTTCTCCCGGCTGTCCCTTAAAAATGTGCCACTCGATTTACAGAAGATTAACGTCGAAATTCCCACCAGCACGTTCATGCTGCTTCTTGCCAGGTTCTCTGGAAAACTCTCCTGTCAGCAGTTAACGGGAGGGTTCAGCTTAGAAACCAAGCACAGCGCAAAGCAAAAAAAAAACACGCAAAATATTTACAGCTTGTTTGGGCTCGAATGCAAGACGAGACGCGGGGCCAGCGTCAACTCCCAGGAGCTCTGCTGGAAGCACAGCGGGGAAGCTGGGGGCAGCTGGTACCACGGCAAGAGAGCAGGACTGGCACTCAAGATTTGGGTCCTCGCCTCAGCTTTGGCCCTTAGCAGGAAAGTTTTCTCCATCGAGCCCCTTTTCCTTCTTTGCACCCCAGTCCACCTCCCCGCCCTGCGTGTCTGCTGGGAGCACTGCACACACGCTGCCCTGGGCTCAAGGAGACCAACGGGGTCCTTTGGGAGCCAAGTGCCTCGCACGTGGGTTGATCCATCTTTACAGGCAAAGCACAGTCTAACGGGGGGAAAGCGCAGTCCTTCCACACCAGATGCCAAGCTGAGAGCGTTTTACTTTGCTGGTAGTGGATCCAGTTCCCTCTTCTTCAGGGAACACTAAGCTACGTTCAGCCTACACACATCTCCATTTAGTGCTGCTCTCGCAGGCTTTTCTACCTGCTCTGAGCGTGTTTCATCTTGAAACTAAGAACTACACATGAAAGATTTACTGAAATTGCCAAAAAGCTACTCCACTTGGCCAGGTTGGACAAACTTGAAGTTTGTCTGATTGGCAGACGGCCAGAAACCTGCCCCATCTGCAACAGCACCCAGATGGAGCTCTCTGCTGCAGTTTGCTGTATCGTACCATGCATCAGAGCCACTTATGGCAAGGCTCTTCATCCCCATCCCGTCACTGACGTACAGCCACGCTGGCGGCTCTCCCGGGGAGGACACACAGTGTCCGGTGTAGCACTGCGCTCCGTCTCCAACGGACTCTTTGTCACCACTGCGCATTGCTGCAGTTTCTGATGAAGGACAAGAGAAATCACCTTCCAAGGAGATTTGCCTTCCCCATCGGAGCCTGCCCGCAGGAGGCCACACAGCGCTCACAAACGGCAGTCGAGGTGGGGTGGGATGGGGTCTGAGCAATGTAAAGCTAAACATGAATGCAACTGGCAGCGCGGTGCAGCTCCGTAGCATTTGTTGTCACTGGTCAAATGACGTTTTATACCTACAAAGACCCCAGCACGGGCAGGGGTCTGATATAGTCCATTATTATTGCAGTGCCTTTTCACAGGTTCATCTTTTCTTTGAATACGAAACTGTTTGGCTGTAAAATATAAAGTCACTTCTGTACAGAAGGAGGACTCAAAGGAGAGCATGGAATGGATTAATTTGTCTTTTACCAAACACAATAGCATCCGTTTTCAACAAATTAGAAATACAGAATTTTTCTTACCAGTCCATTCCTTGCCAGCGTCCCCATTACACTTAGCTCTGTAGCGGCTGCTGTGCCCGTGAATCTTCCTTTCTCGGACTCGCGGAGCTTGCACGTTGATAAGGCAATTGCAAAAACATGACAGAAGGGGCACTAGATCTCACTGATTTGTCTTCCTAACAGAACTCAATTTCCTTTTGCTGTCGGCCTCTTAAATCCCCTTGAGAAATGCTTACAGTATAGTGTTAGAAAACAGCTTTTTCTTAGCATCTTGTAAAGCTAAACTTGAATTGTAATTGTACAGTACAATACACAACAGCCAGAATATCTTTATTACTTAGGAAACTATGTAGTACAAAATATTTTCTGTAGCACAATATATTTATTGTGACCCATATTGACATATTCTATAAGGCTACGTGGAACGATATAAAATTTTAATGTATACAATAGCTTCTTTAAAAACAGGCTTGATACCGTCATGTTTAATATGGAAAGAGGAAAATCTGTAAGCCATTAGACCTTGTCTCTCCTCCTCCTCCTCCAAATCCCACCAGAAGAATCGAAAGTTATTTCAGATGGTATTTTTGCAAAAATACCTTGAGCAAAGAGGGAAGGGGAGAGGGGGAGGCGGGCGGCGGGGCGCGCTCAGGAACAGAGCTCACCACGGCCAGCTCTTTCTAACCCCCTCAGAAAGGATGCCCACCGTTCACCCTCTCCACTCGTACCAGTGCAGGCAGAACCAGGTTGGACCAGAGGTTCCTGGACGCTGCAGTCCCAGCCGAGAGGCCTCAGAACACCATATCCCCAAAGCCATGTTCAAGTTCCACAGAGGCTGGTTTCTGACCCTGTCCTCCCAAAAAGCCCACCTTTGTTCCTTTAATTCACATGAAGATCTAGGAAAAACAGCAGACAGCTCTCACGAGTACAGAGCTCGAGTTGATCAGAAAACAAACATTTGCTTTCCCTTCACAACATTTCTGTTTGAGGACCGTGAGACCTTCGCCCCCAGCACTCACCCCGAAGGCAGCGGCTGGGGTGACTTATCCAACACGTCCTTCGCACCCTGGGACGCGGGGTGGGCTGCAGGCTGCTTTGCTGGGTCTACGCCACGGGCTTGCACAAGCGTCCTTCGGGAAGGTGAAGACAGCGATCTCTGACCAACAGCATCTTCTCCACGCAAGCAGAGTTACGGCGACAGCAGCATGCTTTTACTGGAATGGTTAGTTTCATTCACGGGGGCTGGCTTGGCAACAGCGGTAACAGTGCTGAAAACTCGGCTCCAGGAGCTTCTGTACGCGGACGCACCTTCTGCGGAAGAGCCACGCTGCGCGGCAGCATGCGGAATCTCCCCATCTCCCAGCAAAATGAGGTATCCCAGGAGAAAGTGCGGGTTTACTGTTCCAGGTCAGGTATCTGCAGTAAGCGATCGGCAAACCCCTTCCGCCACACCACGCGTGGAACACGCTGCCATCTCCCAAAATACCACATGCAACTGACTTTAACATTTTTCACAAACCAGACACAGCCTAGCCCGTGCCGGCGATCCTGCTCTCCTCCACGGATTCGCCCTGACAGCACTCAGGGTACCACACACGGCGCGTATTGGGGCTGGGACCACAGGGGTTCTGGATATGCAGCTCCTCTGCCTCCAGAGGATCACGTTCAACGTCTGCCAAAGGTGCTCTCGCTTCCTACATGCAGTAACGCTAAGGGCAGTAACAGTGTAGTATCAGCGACAGATTTTTTTTCCTAGTAAAGGGAAAAAGGCGTAGAAACAGAAGTGCCGCTTACTGGCGCGCAGACTTTTAAAGTATTGTACTTAAAACTATTTTTATATATATATATATATATTTATATATATTATATATCTATTTGTCTTAGAACTGCCCTGATCCCCACTAAGCTATTTTGGTGTATCAGCTCTCCATTTAACACCTTGACATCAAACCACATCCTCAGTTTAATACCTAAGACAGGAGGCATATTTCAGTGTGTTTGCACAAGTACTAAAGGTTATGAGCTAACTGATGCTGCTGCTCCGGGTGAAATGGATGATTAACAGTTTGCATTTATAAATCTGACACACAGTGCATTTAACAGTTTGCCAATAACTGTTTGCAAACACATAAGAGGGTAAAGCAAACTTTTGTGCAAGCGAAAAGGTGAGGGGGGTTAATTCCTATAGGGCCGCTTTATAAAAAGGTTTCAGACTTCAAAGGCTGAAGAACAGAAACGTTGCAACTTTCTCTGCAGAAAGTAAAACCAAAGCAGCAACACTCTGAACAGCTACTCAAATTAAAGGACTCAAAGCCACACAGAGCTTAAAAAGGTGAATTTGCAAACAGAAAAATAAAAAGGAAGAAATCTGCAACTGAGGATTCCAATAAAAAGAAACAGACTGGCTGTGTGAAACCCCAAATGACAAACTAAAACGGAGGGAGGATTTCTGGTAATAACGAGAGAGAAGTGCAATCAGAAAAGAAGTGTTTCTAAATCCCACAAGCCATGTACTCTCACTTTTAAAAAGCATTGCTCTACTGCTGCAGCTTTTTAAGCTGAGCAGCTGTAAAGGGAGGGACGAGGGCACTGCCCTCCCCGGGCAGCGCCAGGATCTCCATCACGTTCGTTACCACCCAGACACGGTCAGGACACGAGTTGAAGCCTGCTCTCAGGCAGGTTTCAGTAACCAGTGCAAAAGCATACCTGAACAAAGTGCTGAAGCTAAGAGCTCACTCCCGTCTCGCATTAACAGCAAAATATAAAGTATGTGGCAACAAAAGTAAAAGCATAAAAAATTCAACAAGCATTATTTGGAATTAAAATAGAATTGTATAAAGTGTATTACAGTATGTTCTATCATTTAAGAAGTAATAACATATTTATAGATCTTTTATTACATAGTGATAACCTGAAGAGAAGGAAATAGGTATTTAATCCATGTACAATATAAAGAAATGATAGAGCAGAAAAAACACTTTCCCATTCAACAACATTCTAAAGATGCTTTTTAATTAGACATTTAAGCATTAAACATTTCTCAGTAGTATGTTAAACTACTAGATACAGTAAGTTTCAGTGCATTGTCCAAGCAGGTGTGGAAATGCATACACATTCAAAGGGCTTTGTGGAAACCTGGCGTTAATCCCCTCAGTTTCCTCAAACACAGAGCAAACGCTGCAGTTACAGAATTTCTGGCCTTCATTTATTAGACCAAGAACCAGTAAATCCTCCAACTACTGGTAATGCAACACTGTCAACCTGCTGAATTCGAACATCAAGCCTGTGTAAATATTCTCGTAAGCAGGGGGAATTTACCTGATTTCTAGATACTGCTTAAAGTAAGCCCCACTTCATCTGAGTGATGGTAAGAAAAGCACTCATCGTTCTTCTCTCACACCCACGAACACCGCTGCTCAGGGCTGACCGAAGCGTGCGTGTCACACGGGGTACACAACCGATGGCACACCTTGAGGGCTGCCATAAAA